GTCGAATGTGGGTCGCGGGTGTGTCGAGTGTGGGTCGCGGGTGGGTCGAATGTGGGTCGCGGGCGGGTCGCGGGCCGGATCGTGAGTGGAACGACGGCAACAACAGCAACAACAACACACAACAAACAACAAACAACAAGCAACAAGCAACAAACACCAAACAACAACAACAACAACAACAACAACAACAACAACAACAACAACAACAACAACAACAACAACAACAACAACAGCAACAACAACAACAGCACCAACACAAACACCAACACCAACACCAACACCAACACCAACACCAACACCACCAACAACAACAACCACAAACACAACCACAGCCACAACCACAACCACAACCACAACAACTACAACAACACCAGCAGCCACAACCACAACAACAATACTCGTACTCATGTTCGCTGTTATCTGCTCGCGTACCACCCAAACACGTGTATCCCAAGCCCCCTCGATACCCGCTGTCTGCGTCATCGATCGCACCCCCCTTGGGGTATACATGTCTTGTTCCATCCGCCACGTGTATTCAGTGCACCCCTTAAAACAAGGGAAGAGAGGACGGATGGAAGGAACGGGAAAGGGGGAAAAAGACAAGGATGGAGCACGAGAGACAGTAGCAGTAGGGGGGGGCTCGGAGCAGAAAGCGTGCGGCAGAACTAAACAGGCAAATCGGGCAGGTAGAACCTGACGGGCGGGTCGGGAAGGCGGGCCCAGGCGGCCAGGTCGAGCAGGCGGGCTGCTGAAGCGTGCGTCCTGCACGAATCGCGAAAAAGTCTCAAGCGATAACGCGACTTCCAAGTGAAAGAACAAACACATCCGGAGCGAGAGCTTGATTGCTGAGTGTCGAGGGCGCGGCGTTACAATACGTGACATGGGAGTACCACGCGAGAGAGCGCTTCCTGCATGGATTCTGACGAAGTCCCCTCGACAGCGCGATTCTCAAATTAATTGTGAGGAAATACCCGGCGGGAGCCGTTGCTGTTTTAGTTCGGGGGCCAGGGGCCCAATCTGAGCCGCAAGACTTTCCCTTGTAAAATTGAAGTGCGAGCCCCAGGAGGAGCACGTTGATTGAAAAACAAAAATGGCACCACAGGGGGATCAACAGCACTTAGTCTTTAGAAATGAGAACCCAACAACAACAACAACAACAACAGCAGCACCAGCATCGAAAGCACCAACACCAACACCAACACCAAAACGAACACCACACAACAACAACAATCAATTTAAGACTGTTCGCTCTTACCTGCTGGTGGGCCACTCAACACGTATACCCAAAACCATCGATGCCCGCCCTCTTCGTCTTCGTTCTTACCACCTTGGGTGTATCTACCTTTCTTACCTGCAGCGTGTTTGTCGTGCAGCCCTTAAGGCAGGGGAAGAGAGGACGGATGGAAGGAAATGACACGGGGAAGGGAGGATGGAGCACGGGATTAGCAGGATGAGGGCTAGGAGCATAAACCACGGCAAAACCAGACGGGCGGGTAGACCCTAACGGGTGGGTCGGGAAGGCGGGTTCAAGCGGCCAGGTCGAGCAGGCTGCTTTTAAGCATGATTGCTGCATGAATCGAGAATGTCTCGAGCGATAGTGCGATTCCAGAAGAACTCGTGGGGAAATCCACAGCGAGAGCATGATTCCTGAGTGTCGAGGGCGCGGCGTTTGAGTAAATGGTGAGGACGTCCCATGCGAGAGCGCGGATCCTGAGCATCCCAAGGGGGATGCCGACAGGGGTAGTTTCATTCTCCCGTTCGCGCCCAGATTCTGGGGATGTCTCAGGCGGCTTATCTCGCTCGTGGATTTCTGTGAGTCTTCATTGTTGTCTTCGTTAACTCTCACCGTAATCGTCGCCGTCGTCGCCGTACGTATAAGATTCTGAGGACGTCCCGCGCGATTCGATAATAGACTGTGAGAAAGCATCCGGCGGGAGGCCGTGGGCGTTGCAACTCGGAGGCCAGGGGCCCGGTTTGGTGACCCTTCCCTCTCCCTTGTAAACAGTCATGGTGCGAGCCCCAGGAAGGACACTGCAACTGAAAAGACACAGTGTGCCCCGGAGGGGGGAGTCAACCATAACCATCCTTCAGGAATACGAACTCAACAACAGCAGCAACAACACCACCAACAACAACAATAATAATACGTAGCACCCCGCAATTGCGGATAAAAGTGAGTGGGCGGGCGCAGGCGACGCGGGCGTCGTCAAGCCGGCGGACCTCGTGGCCCCCACCTTCCTTGTCGATGGCGTTCTCCTCCTTCTCCTCCTCCTCCTCCTCGTCCTCGTCCTCGTCCTCGTCCTCATCGTCATCGTCATCCTCCTCCTCCACCTCGTCCTCCTCCTCCTCTTTTTCCTCGTCCTCCCTCTCCCCCCCTCGTCCTTTCATCATCGTCCTCCCATTGTCGTCCTCCCCCTCATCGGCCTCCATCATCGTCCTCCCATTGTCGTCCATCATCATCCTCCTCCCCCTCCTCGTCCTCCTCCTCCCCCTGCTCCCCCTCCTCCCACTCCTCCTTCCCCTCCTCCCCCTCGGCATTGGTTTGTCCAGTGAACGTGGTTTGGGTCGCGGGTGGGTCGCGGGCTCTCCACCTCCACCTGGAAGGAATGCAAAAGCAGCCCGCCGCAGGCGCCAAAAATTTGGTTTGTACACTGATCGTGGTGTGGGTCGCGGGTGGGCCGCGGGTTCTCCACCGGGAGCGAATGCAAAAGATGCCCGCCGCAGGCGCCGAAAAATTTGGTTTGTACCCTGAACGTGGTCGCGGGTGGGCCGCGGGCACTCCACTTGAAACGACTGCAAAAGATGCCCGCCGCAGGCGCCGAAAAATGTGGTTTGTACCCTGAGCGTGGTTTGGGTCGCGGGTTGGTCGCAAGTTGGTCACGGAGTGGGTCGCGGGCTCTCCACCTGGAAGGAATGCAAAAAAAGCCCGCCGCAGGCGCCGGAAATGGTGGTTTGTACTTTCAACGTGGTTTGAATCGAAGGTGGGTCGCGGGTGGGTCGCGGGGTGGGTCGCGGGTGGGTCGCGGGTGGGTCGCGGGTGGGTCGTGGGTGGGTTGCGGGGTGGGCCGCGGGCGGGTCGCGGGGTGGGCCGCGGGCGGGTCGCGGGGTGGGTCGCAGGCCCGGGGTGGGTCGCGGGGTGGGTCGCGGGGTGGGTCGCGGGGTGGGTCGCGGGTGGGTCGCGGGTGGGTCGTGGGTGGGTCGCGGGGTGGGTCGCGGGGTGGGTCGCGGGTGGGTCGCGGGGCGGGTTGCGGGTGGGACGACGACAACAAACAACAACAACAACAACAACAACAACAACCATTTTAAGGCTGTACGCTCTTACTTGCCCGCGAGTCATTCAACACGTATACCCTACACCCTCGATACCCGCCCTCTTCGTCTTCGATCACACCCCTTTCGGGGGGATTATTTCTCTTTGCTGGGGCCGGCGGGCTTAGACGTACGGGCAAACCGGAACGGGCGGACAATCCTTCGGGGGCGTACATCTCTCTGCCCGCCATTGGAATTGGCGCGGGCCCTGCAAGAGGAGGAGGGGAAGAACGAGGGAGAGTGGGAGGAAGGGGAGGGGGAAGGACGAAGGAAGAGGGAAGATACCACGTTGTGAAGGCGTCCTTGGCGCGCGCGTGGTTCCTGAGCGCCGAAACGCAATTCCAGAATAATTTGTGAGGACGTCGCACGCGAGAGCGCAATCCTGAGTACATTGTGAGGAAATCTCAGGCGGAAGCGGGGGCCCTGACTAAGTTGCGAGGAAGTCTCCAGCGGGAGCGCCGTTCCTGAGCAAATTGCACGGAAGTCTCAAGCGGGAGCGGGGGTCCTCACTAAATTGCGAGGAAGTCTCAGGCGGGAGCGCCGTTCCTGAGTCAATTGCACGGAAATGTCAAGCAGGAGCGGGGGTCCTGAGTAAAATTCGAAGAAGTCTCAAGCGGGAGCGCCGTTCCCACGTAAATTGCACGGAAGTCTCAGGCGGGAGCGGGGGTCTTGATTACATTGCGAGGAAGTCTCAGACGGGAGCGCCTTTCCTGAGTAAATTGCGCGGAAGTCTCAGGCGGGAGCGGGGGTCCTGAGTAAAAATCGAAGAAGTCTCAGGCGGGAGCCGTTGTTGTTGTAGCCCGGGGGGCAGGGGCACAGTTTGAGCAGGAAGACTTTCCTTGAGAAAAAACAAGTGCGAGCCCCGGGGGTGGCACTTCAATCGAAAAAAATCAATGTGCACCGGTGGGGGGGGATCAACAATAATTATTCTTCAAGAATGAGAATTCAACAACAACAACAACAACAACAACAACAACAACACCAACAACAACCAACAACAACAACAACACCAACAACAACAACACAACAACAACACCAACAACAACAACAACACCAACACCAACACCAACAACAATAACAACAACAACAACAACAACAACAAACACCACACAAACACCAAACAACAACAACAACAACACAACAACAACAACAACAACAACAACAACAACAACAATTACTAGCACGTGGGGACACTCCGTTCTCACCAGTGCCAGGGTTTTCATAGGAGGCGGGCAATACCCCCACTTTGTGGGGGGGCCGGTTCAAGCTCTACCAAATTTCCAAACGACTCTTCGCCACCACCCACACCCAGCTTCCCGCCCTATGACGTTCGGACACTTCACTTCGTGGCATGCGGACGACCGTGGCTACTATTCAGGGCCCCGCGGCCGACGACGACGGCGTGCGCGCGCGAAGAAAAAACGAATGTGTCCCGCATGGTATTATTTGACAGGGATGATGGCCCTGGCAGGTGCGCAACCGTTGTCGCAGAAGTTCGAAAAAGTTGCTCGCAAAAGCCCGTTTGACAGAAATGTTTAAAAAGTGTTGGGTTTCCTACGAATCCGCAAGAGCGCGCGGGATGAGATTTTGACATTTTTTTGTTGAAAAACCATTGGTTTTTTGATGTTTTTATGTTAAAATCGCTCCGAACACTAAGCTTTTGGAAGGATTTCGTCTTGCGCGCGCGAATGTCCACTTTACCTTATTTTTTGCAAGGGATTCTTGAAATTTGATTATATTAGAACAAGAAATGTCATTTTATAGTGTTTTTTGCAAGGGAAAACGGATTACAACAAAACAACCGGATCTTGATGACATCGTATTACCTGAGGCTTCCTCACGAAAATGATGAAAATGTAGCTGCGGCCTAGGCGGCGCAGGGGGGCCGTGCACCAGGGGTCCCAACAATAATTATTCTTTAGAATTAATAATGTTCAACAACCAACAACACCAACAACAACAACAACACGAATCCGCACCGCGGAATTCCACATCAGCCACGCACCCAGGGACAGTGAATGACCGTTCGGCCCCCTCACTCTGACTAACTCAAGAAAATTCCGCACAGCGGAGCTCCACTTCAGCCAAGCACCCAGGGACAGTGAATGACTGTTCGGCCTCCTCACTTCGATATAGCTGGGTCACAAATGCCCCGCATGGAAAAGGGGTTACCGATCCGTGGCCAAGTGAGCTCCGCCCACTTGACGGAGTCATCTAATCCTCCCCAACCACTTCGGGCATTCGTCGCTTATGAGCCAGGTTGGGCAAGATATCCCGGGTCGAGGATTCACAGGCCCTCCCCCCCGAAGGGGATGGGCCCAAGCTTCCACAGCACCCCCCCCCGATGGCAAGGCTGGGGGGGGGGCGACGATGACGACGATGATGATGACGACGACGACGACGAAGACGACGACGAAGACGACGACGACGACTACGACGACGACGACGACGGCGGCGGCGGCGGCGGCGACGACGACGACGGCACCGCAGCAACACGGGGCGGGGGCGCTTGCATTCCCCTCCACCACGCCACGCCCACAGGGCAACGACCACAGGAGGGGGGGGGCGTCGATCCCATTCGCGAGGCCTTTGCGAGGCTCAAGGGCGTACCCCATCCAGCAGGCGTATCCCATCCAGCAGGGAGGGGGGGGGGGAGGGGGGGCGATCCCATTTGCATTAGGGGGGGGGAGCCCTGGACGAGATATACACAGAACCCGCCGTCCGTGGCATCCACAGAAAAAGCCCCCCCTCTCCCATTTGCAACCCCTGCGCCCATCCAAGTATCGGGGAGACGCAAGACTCGGGCTTGGGGGACTCGGTTTGGCCCCGCGGGGAAATCACGCAGATGACACGACCCCGTCTGAACACTCGACGCGAACTCCCGCTGCAGACCTCCCACCCAAACAAAGCCGCCGAAATCCCGTGCGGGCTCGCCAAACAACACACGCAGGTCAACCCGAGCTCCGGCGCACTCGGGCCTCACGCTGCCCCGACAGTGGGGCAGCGCTGCCGCGGAAGTCGGCGCAGGAGGCCCGCGGCACCTCGGCCGTCGCCATGCGCGCCCGGATCCAGGCGCCGCGCCGCAGCTCCAGCTCCAGCTGCGGCAGGGGCCAGCACGTGTGCCCCAGCACCGGGCGCACGCGCCCGCGGTGCGCCTGGCCCGAGGCCACCAGGCCCGCGATCGAAGCCACGTCGCCTCGGGGCAGCTGCCGAAGCGCCCAGCTCCACTACACGCGGGAGTGACCCTGGGCAAGAATGACCTCTGGTGCGCGGCTTTAGGGGGGGGGGGGGGCGCGAGGGGGCCAAAACCAAGCGCGAAAGCAGCCGCTGCCGCGTCGCGCTCAGCGATCGGAGGGGCCCCGGTGATCCCGCACCAAAGGTCACTCCGGCGCAAGGTCACTCTTACGTGTTGTCGACCAGTGCCCGCGGGGTCGTTGCCAAGGGGCCGTCCCACGAGGCCGCGGAGACAGATACGTACTTGCGCCCACGACAGACCCCCCCATGCGGCGTAAGGGAATCAAGACGGGAAACTCTTGGGCGTGGTCGGCCCCTGGGGACCCCCACGGGGCCCCAGGGCCGTCAACAATTCGTCCCGGAATGGGGAGCGGGTCCCCGGGGAATCGGTCCAGGCGTGTGGGGCAGTCCGTTTGTGAACAAACCAAGGCTTGGGCTTCTGGAGATCTGGTGGCCGCCACAGCTGGACACCCCCGCGGAGGCTCTGATCAGAACGCGCTGGGTTGGGGGCTGGGTTTCGGAGGCCAGGCGCCCCGACCTCATGTTCAGCCTCCTCTTCCTCTGCCTCCTCTTCCTCTGCCTCCTCGTCCTCCTCCTCCTCCTCCTCCTTCTCCTCCTCCTGATCTACATCCGCCTACTCGTCCTCCTCCTCCTCCTCTTCCTCCTCCTTCTCCTCCTCCTGCCTCATCTTGTTACCCCGACTGCTCTTCCTACTCCTCCTGCCTCTCCTCTTTCTCCGCCTCCTCGTGCTCTTCCACATCCTCCTGTTCCTGTCCTCTTCCTCAGCCTCCTCTGCCACTTCATCCGCCAGCCCCTCCTGGCCTTGCTCCTCCTGGTTCGCCTCTCAATTTTCGTCACCCCGTCCTTGAATCACCCACGCACTCGCGCACGCACGCACGCACGCACGCACGCACGCACGCACGCACGCACGCACGCACGCACGCACGCACGCACGCACGCACGCACGCACGCACGCACGCACGCACGCACGCACGCACGCACGCACACACACACACACACACACACACACACACACACACACACACGCACACACGCACGCACGCACGCACGCACGCACGCACGCACGTACGCACGTACGCACGTACACGCAAACGTGCATGCACGCATGCATGCATGCCACGCACGCGCGCACGCCCGTGCACACACACACACAAAGACACGGGCGTGCACACATACACACACCCACACACTCGCACGCGCGCACGCACGCACGCACGCACGCACGCACGCACACACACACACACAAACACACACACACACGTGCGTGAGCACACACATGCGCGCGCACGCACGCACGCACTCACGTGCACGCACATACACACAGACACAGGCACACAACCACACACACACACACACACGCACACAAGCACGCGAGCACACATGAACACACATTCACCTTCGCACACAAACGCACGCACGCACGCACGCACGCACGAACAAACGCATGCACGCACGCACGCACGCACGCCACGCACGCGCGCACGCCCGTGCACACACACACACACATACACAAAGACACGGGCGTGCGCGCAAACGCATACAAACACACACACACACACGAACACACACAAGCACACACACACACACACACGCACACACACACACACACTCGCACGAGCACACTCACGCGCCCGCGCACGCGCAAGCTCACGAACACGCACGCACACACACACACATTCACACACACACACTGTTTGGTCGTAGCGGCGCGGCGACTCGCCAGCGCGTCGGGCGGCGCCCGCACGGCCAGAGCCGCGCGCGCGCAGTGCCGCTGGGACAAAGGGAGACGACCGGCTCCTCACTGGGCGGCGGCTGGCGGCGGCAGGGCAGGCAGCGGGCAGCGGCCGCGGGGGGCGGCACGGCACCGGGCGAGCGGGGTCCGCGGGTGGCGCAGGCGTGGCGACGTCACGCAGCTGGGGCCCCGCCAAAATGAGGCGGGCAGGGAGCCTCGGCGGAGAGCCAGAGGCGGGCGGCCCGGGCCAAAGAAGCCGCGGCGCGCGGGCCGGGATCAGGCGGGCGGGGCCAGGTGGAGAGGGGGGCGGCCCCAAGAAGCGAGACCCGACGGGCAGACCGGGAGCGGAGGCCATAATAAGGTCACAAGAGGCCCCCAAGAAGCCTCCTCATCCTCCTTTTCATCCCTCGCTTCCTCGTCTCCCTCTTCATCCCCCAAGTGTTACCCCATGGGTTTCCACAACCTATGGGGGCACACATAATCGAACAGCTTGGATAGACTTTGGCCCAGCGTTTGACCATGCAAATGTAGCCGAAAGGTCAGGGGGCGGCGATGATTGGCCGCGAGCGTCATCGCTGCAAACACACACACACACAAACACGGACGCAAACACAATCACACACACATACACACACACACACACACACGCGCACGCACGCACGCACGCACGCACGCACGCACGCACGCACGCACGCACACACACACACACACACACACACACACACACACACACACACACACACACACACACACACACACACACACACACCACGCGCGCGCACGCGCACGCATACACGCACGCACGCACGCACGCACGCACGCACGCACGCACGCACGCACGCACGCACGCACGCACGCACGCTCACTTCTTTGGCGTCGTTGCCACGCGTGAAACCATGCGGCGGAGCCGACGCAACTTCCAAAAGCGGAGACTGAAGCGCGCGGGCGGGCCCCTACGCACGCACACGTAAACAACCACATGCGAACCCTGCCCCTGCAGGTCAAATTTCTGCAACGCTAGCTGGGTTCAGAACTCAAAGTGAAACTCCGGCGGGGGTTGTCCGATACTCCCTCGTCGATTGGACCAGCAGAGCAGGGTTCCAAATTGGTCGCAGAACACACGCACACAAACACACACACACACACACACACACACACACACACACACACACACACACACACACACACACACACACACGCACACACACACACACCTACCGCTACTCCCCGGGGTGCGTTCTGACCGGAATTTCGAGGCGAATCCAGTGGTGGCGACGAGGGCCTCCCAGGAGGCTCCACAAAAAGGAACGCGGGCGAAGGGCAGCGACACGGGTGCCTTTTCCTCCTCTTCCCACCTGGTCGCGAGAACACGCGCACCTCCCTGAGCCCGAGCCCCTTCCGCGCCAACCCCGGGGGGGCTCCCGGCTCCGAAGATTGTTCACAGCGGCCGGTCGCCACCGACCCACACCGAGGGCGCCACCTCCCGGGCCCCCGGCACCGCGTGCCCCAGCGTGTGCAGCCTGAGGGGGGAGGAACGGAGGGGAGGTTGGACGCCGACGACGACGACGACGGCGCCGAAGACGATGCCGACGACGACGACGACGCCGACGACGAAGGCGACGACGACAAGCCAGAATCCCATACATGCCGGCGTCATAACAAAAAGCACGACGGATTTGTTTGGCAGTTTTCCGCCTCCGAGACCTTGGGCCGCCAAAAAGCAACTTGGGATGAAAACATCGACCCTTGGGAAGGGATCGGGACTTTGCGGGGACACCGTGGTGGACAAAAGAAGGGCTTCGGATGTCTAGGACCATCGCGTAGGGTACCTCCGACGGTGTGGTCCTCCACGACAAGAAGCAGCCCAGGATCAGAAACCAGGCCTCCAGGGGCCCCCAAGACCCGATGAGGCAGGCCAGGCATTCACAGTCCCGACTTGATCCTCCCAGTCGCAAGGGACGCCCGGGCCCTCCTCGGCGTCGGCCCCCGGGCCGCTTCCTGGAAGACGCCCCCCGCCGAGACCTCGAGAGGCGCCCCGCGCGTGCGCGGCGCTCCCGGCCAAGGCCCTGGGGCACAGCAAGGCCCCAGGGCCTCGACGACGTCGGCTGCGGCTCCTGGACAGCCGCGCGGGGGCCGCCGAGGCCTCGGCGCGAGGAGGCTGCTCGCCCAGGAGCCGCCGCCCCCCCGCCAGGCGAGGCTCTCGAGGCACCCCCTCGCGACCACGGAGGCCCCGCGCCGCGGACCGCCCCGCGCGGGCCCTCACGGAGGCCCCGAGCGGGCCCCGGGGAGGGGGGGTGCTCCGTCAAAGCGAGGCTTGGGCGCCCGAGTCATCCGGGATCGCTGCGGTCCGGGGTATACCTTCGGATCGGGCCCCCGAGGCGCGGATCTGTAGCCACGCTCAACTGCCCCGGAGCCGAGGCGAGGCTCCGAGAGGATGACGTCACGATCGGATTGGTTCCATGAGGCGTTCCAAGCTGTCCAACGTATCCGGCGGCCCTCGCTTCGGCAGCCCGTGTGGAACGTCAAGAAGTCTCGGACGTCCTGTAAATCTCGGCAACCTTCCAACGTATCATTATCGTACCGTCTTGCTCCTCCTCTGGTCAATCTTGAACGCCCGCACCGACGCCGCTGCCGCGTCTGCCACACGCACAACCTCGTGCGGGAAACGTGTACTCATCAACGGCCTCGCGGTCCGGACCCCTCGGCCGCGGACCCTCACGGGGTGCAGGGCGGCTCCTTGCGCTGATGCCTCCCCGCGCGGAACGCATCCATGGGATTGCGCATCCATGGAGGCGCCGCGGCATTCAGGCGCCCAAACAACCAGACCGCAAGACCATCGATACGGATGTGCTCCTGGACGCCAATGGATACCGAGCACGCCACTCCCTGGACCTCTCCCGGGGTGCGGTCTGACCAGGATTTCGAGGCGGATCTGGCCGTGGCGACGAAGTCCTCCCGGAAGACCCACAAAGATGAGATGAGCGAAGGAAGGGTAGCGGCATCCCTCTGAGATATGTATGTGCTCGTCGCCCGTAGCTAAGGAGGAGGTTGGAGGCGGCCAGGGGGTCTGAACTGGTTGGGACCCTAGATACTCGGCGAAGGGGGGTGAAGCCAAATCTGGTTAAAATCTCCAGAGATCCATCTGGCGCAAGTGTTCACCCTGGATCCGTTTTTGACGGTCACAGGGCCCGAAAACGGCTCCCGGAGGCCAACAAGGGTAAAAAACATTCCCGAACCCAGAACCTCGAATCTGCCACCCCTTCCTGCTGGCTGGAACCAGTGCTGGGCCACGTCAGACCCCCATCCAGCTCCAACGAGGAGGAGGACGAGGACCGGTGTAAGCCCAAAACTCGTCAACGATGCTGCAATCAAACGTTACTCCAACTTCTCTCTCCACAGGCCCTTGCAAGGGATCCATTTTCACCCAAAAAAGTGCCCCGTTGGAAGACGATCGTTTGAGAATCCTGACCTGTGCCAGAACACCCTTCCTGGGACCTCGACGCCGCGAGACCACCGCTGCTGCTGCGTCTTGACGACCGACGAGGAGGAGGAGGAGGAGGAGGAGGAGGAGGCGGAGGAGGAGGAGGAGAAGGAGGGAGGAGGATGATGAGGAGGAGGAGGAGGAGCAGGAGGAGGAGCAGGAGGAGGAGGAGGAGGAGGAGGAGGAGGAGGAGGAGGAGGAGGAGGAAGAAGCAGCGGAGGGGGCGCGCAGGCCAGGTGATGCTGTCCGACAGGCTGCCGGCCACGAGCTCGCCCCCCGAGAGCAGGGGGGCGTCCAGCAGCGGCTCCAGGGCCTCCATCAGCCGCCGGTCGTCCTGCGCACCGGGAGCGGGCGAAGCCGGTCGGGGGTGCCCAAGAGGGGGGGGCGTCCAAGGGGCGGGTGCGCAAGTCAGGGCCCGCGGCATGTGCGCGGCCCCTGGGGCGGGGGGGGAGGGGACGTGCGACCGGGCCCAGGAACACGCAGAACCCACCCCCCCGGATTCTCCACATGTTCCACATTGTCTGGGCTATTGTCTTCCCCTCTGTTTCCAACATTTTCATGTTTTGCTCTGGGAAGGTCTGCGATTATTCGTGCCTGTGTTTTTCCCTCCTGAACGCATTGAAATAAAAATAAGAGGTGTGACATATGGGGAAATATCATGCCCCCAGCCATGACATTCACCCCCTATAGCCATCGCCCCCCTCTTGGCTGCCCACGACGCCAGGACATGGCGAAACCGCGGCCTGGACAAGATCGAACGGGAACAAATCGGGGATCTCTGCGGTCCAGCGGTTCTGGAGACTGCTTTCTTGTTACTTCCTGTGATGGTCGTTGCCTGGGGGGGGGGTGCTTGGGTCCCGAGGTAGACGTAACGATTGGGCGGAGTGGGGCACGCCAGGGCGGAAGTGTGCTTCGATCTTTACGAAAAAGCGGCGCGTTCTGTGGTCGCTTGGAGGGGGGGGGTTGGAACCGGACCCCTCCCCCCCCTGGATGGAGGAGGGGGGGGGGTCGAACCCCCCACCCCCCCTTCCTCCCCTGCTTCCCCTGTCCTCGGGCCGGCGCTTGTGTCGGCGGCGGCCGGCGTCGGCGGCGGGGACGACGATTTCCTTTTCCAGGCGGGCGCCGGCGCTTGGTGGTGGTGGTGGTGGGTTGTGGTGGTGGTGGCGGTGGTGGTGGTTGTGGTGGTGGTGGTGGTGTAGTGGTTTGTTGTTGTGGTGGTGGTGGTTGTGGTTTGGTGGTGGTGGTGTGGTGGTGGTCTGTGGTGGTCTGTGGTGGTGGCGGGTTGGGGTGGTGGCGGTGGTTTGGTGGTGGTGTGGTAGTTTGTGGTGGTGGTGGTGTGGTGGGTTGTGGTAGTGGCGGTGGTTTGTGGAGGTAGTGCTGGTGGTGGTGATGGTGGCGGTGGTGGTGGTGGTGTGGTGGTGGCTTGTGGTGGTGGCGGTGGGCTGTGCGCTCGTAGTGTAGTAGTTGTGGCGGTGGTGGTGTGGTGTGGTAGTGTGGTGGTGGTGGGGGTGGTGGTGGTGGTGTGATGGTGGTGGTGGTTGTGGTGGTGGTGGTGGTGGTGGTGGTGGTGGTGGTGGTGGTGGTGTGGTGGTGGGTGGTGGTGGTGGTGGTGGGTTGTGGTGGTGGCGGTGGTTTGTGGAGGTGGTGGTGGTGGTGGTGGTGGTGGTGGTGGTGTGGTGGTTTGTGGTGGTGGCGGTGGGTTGTGCTGCTGGTAGTGGTGGTGGTTGTGGCGGTGGTGGTGGTGGTGTGGTAGATTGTGGTGGTGGTGGTAGTGGTGGTGGGTTTTTGTGGTGGTGGTGATGGTGAGTTGTGGTAGTGTTGGTTGAGGCGGTGGTGGTGGGTGGTGGTGGTGGTGGTGGTAGTGGTGGTAATTGTTGCTGCGTCCCCGCTGGCGCCGGCGCCAGCGCCGCGCTGCTGGCCGCGCGCCGGCGCCGGCGCCGGCGGGGGGGTTAAACACCCCCCCTGGCGCCAGGGGGGGGGTTTGAACCCCCCCCCCCGCTTTGGGCTGCCTCTGGTCATCGTCGCTGCTACCTGCCGCCAGCCTCGACGCCGGCGCTAGCGCCGAAGGGGGGGGCGGGCGGGGTTTTGAACCGCCCCCCCCTTGGGAGGGGGGGGTTGGGAGGGGGGGGGGTTGGGGGGGAGGGGAGTCGCCCTGGTTTTGATCGACGGCGCAGAGTGTTGGGGGGGGGCCCACTTCCCGGTTCGAAACGCGCCGCCGAATTGTCCCAAGGCAAGCGCCCGTGAAACGCGTTCTCTCGTCTTTACACTACGCGCGCGAGCACCGGCATGTGGGGGTGTGTCGAAGCCCACCTCCCCAATATACTATCGTTACCGTTACCCTGAGGGGGCGAGGTGTGGCCTGGGCAATGCCACTTGCGCGCCCGAGGGTGTGAAACTTAACCGGCCCATTCCGCGGTTTTGCCACCTCCTGGTCGGTGGTTGCTCAAGGTGCCCCTGGCCCAAGGTGCCCCCAGCTTTTCGCTCAATGCTGGAGCCTCTGGGGCCCTCTGGGCCTCGTGAGGGGTGCTCTGGAGACCGCGGGGGCCTCCGTGGCAATCCTGGGGGCACCTTGGGTCAGGGGCACTTCTTGCAACACCCGACCTGGGTTATGCTGCATCCTCATGGGAACTTGTCTCTCCCATCGCGGCCCTATCCGTGCCGAATCCGTGTCGAATCCATGTCCGGCTCGTCGGATCCGTGTCGAATCCGTGTCGAATCCGCGTCGAATCCACGCCGAATCCGCGTCGATTCCGCATCGAGCCCGCGTCGGGCACAAGAAAAGGCACCCATTTGGGGGACAGGCGAGGTCCCCCGAAGATGCAACTTAACGGCCAGACTCCGCCTCCGGGAATTCTGGTCGGGATAGACTCTGGCAGGCTTGCGGGCATCGCTCTTGAGCGGCCTGCTGTCCAGGCTCGGGGGGTGCCGAGGCTCGTGCATCGAAGACCTCGGTTTCCGGATGTGTGCTCCGCCCTGCGGCGTTTCCCGCGGCGTCCACGCGGCCGGAACGCATCCAGGGAGAGATCTCTCGGGGTTCAATGCCAAAAAACGCCTTCGGCGCCATGAATCACGTGATGCCTGCGGTTTCCGCCCTGTCGACCTGCAGCCTCATTTCAAGACCCTGGGGAGTGCACGGGCGAGTGCAACGGGGCAAAACCAAGGGCAGGGTGGAGGGAGAGGCCGGTAAGGATGGTCAGGGGCGAGGGTGAAGGCACGGCCCAGGTGCTGAGCAGTGCAAGGAGTAAGGACAGGAAGACAGGGCTGGTGATCAGGGCGTGGGTAGTGATCAGGGTGAGCGTGGAATTGAGGTTGAGGGCGACTGTATTCGGCAGGGACGGAAACCAATGCGAGCAGGCCGTGTCAGGGGCAATGGTAAGGGTAAGCGTAAAAGGGTACTTACAAAGATGAAGGTAAGGGCGTCAGCAAGGGGAAGCAGCAATAGGAACAAAGCAAGGGGCAGAATGCCAACATAATAAAGAAAAACAAAAGGGACAACAATACGGGCAAGTGCAAGGCGAAGGCCTAGGACGAGGTCAATGCCAAGTGAGGTGGGAGTCAATATAATGGTGGTGGTAAGGGTTAGGGCACTGACGAAGGTGAGCGTGTCGGTGAGGTTAAAGGTATAGCGAGGGCAATCGGAATCAGTGAGGACAATGGCGAGGATGACATGCAAGCATGAACATACAACATAAATGAGCATGATAAAAAAGGTGTTGTGCTAAAACACTTGTGGCTAAAGACAAGTCAGGGGATGAGCCTGAACAACTGAAACGGCAACGGTAGTTCGAGTGGTGATGGTGAATTGAGCGGTGAGGGCCAACATGAGGACTATGGTAAAGATACAGTAACGGTTGGGGATCATGATAAAGGTAATTGGTGTAACAAATAAGAAGGTAATGCTCGGACATTGTTGTCAGTTATGAGATCCTCAACATAAAAAAGGGCAAGCACTGTCAACGAAGGTGATGTATATTGCGAAAGTTAGCGTGAACACGAAGGACTAGTCGGAGGCGGCAGCAGAAAGGGTAGCGATGAGATTGATTGTGATGGGAATGATGATCGGGAAAGCTGAAGGTGAAGGAGAGGGCAGATGGTAAAAGTGTTTGTGATAACGAGGGCGGGAATGGGGGGAAGGGTGCGGGCGAGGTTGGCATGTGGGGACCAACGCAAGTTGAAGGACGGAAGCGGTGCTCAGTCCCGGGACAGTGCTCGGACCATGGCGGCGCGAAAAGCAGCCCTCAGATTTCGCAGTGGGGAAGGACCCTGGATGGGAGAAGCACCAGATTGCAGAATGGCACCCGCACCGACAGAAGACGCCAGACCCGTAGCTTCCGCACTTGGGAATGTTACACACCTCCACGCCGAATGTTACACACCTCCACGCCTACAGTCCACTCGCACAGGGAGGGTGGGCAGCCTTCCCACAGGGTGATCTTGCATCCTTGCCTCCTCGGTCCAATCCCTGGCCACTTCTGCTGGCCGCGCCCCGCCCGCGAAAAGCGTCGCGGCACGGCCCTCCGAGGCCCTTCTGCGTCCTCCTCGCGCGCCCTCCTTCTGCCACGGGCCGACTGTGCCACGATAGGGGGGGGCACGGTGGGGTACTCCGATCTGCATCGCTTCTGCTGGTCGCGCCCCGCCCGCGCAATGCCGACACGGCCTTCCAAGGCCCCTCGCATCCTTCTCGCGCGTCCTGCTGCTGCGGGCCGCCTGCATCACGATAGGGGGGGGGACGGAGGGCCACCGCTCTCCAAGAACCCGCGCCGTGGGGGGCCGCGGTGGGCCAGCGCACTCGGGGGCCACGGCGCCCCCCCGATGGGGCGTTCGAAGAACTGGCCTCCGCTCGGACGTCCACTCCCCGTGCACTTTTCGACTCCGCGCGTGTCTTGTCCGCAAGATAATCCAAGATGCTCCTCGATGGTCCTCTCCAAACAAAAATCCACACGCCCGACCGATGCCAGGACGTCCAGTCCCCGTGCATTTGTCGATTCCGTGCGCGTGCTTTTTTTGTTCGCAAGATGATCCAAGGTGCTCCTCGGGAGTGCACACGTCCGAGCGATGCCAAGAGAACGATGGAATGTCGAGCCCTTGCAGGCTGGCTGTCCAGGCTGGCTTCCCAGGCTAGCATACACTCTCGGGGGCCACGGCGGGCCACCGCTCTCCTGGGCCCGGCGCCCCCACGGGGGTGCTCGAGGCATGCCAGGGTATACCACACAGGAGCTCCACCACGAGGAACCCTCCACGAGAAGCCCAGCCCTGAGACCCCCAGGCCGCCCACGATAAATTCTTGGCGTGGGCACGCCGCGCGCCTCCACGGCGGCGCCGCCGACGCCCGAGAGGCCCAGGGCACCCTGGAGGCAGGCAGGGGGAGGAGGAGGGAGGAGGAGGAGGAGGAGGAGGAGGAGGAGGAGCCCTCGCAGGCCAGCCGCCGAGGGCCGCACACCGCCTCCGGAGGCCCGCGCGGACCTCCAGAGGGCCCGCGCGCCGCCCCCGAAGCCTTCCACGGGCGCGCGCGGCCCGCCGCCGAGGCGCCGACGCGAGCTCTTTTCGCGCGGAGCTCGGACGGCCTGTCGTGCTGGGGGGTGCTCTTCTTTGAAGGGAAATTTGGGCACACAAATAAATACACACAAATAAAAATATTCCCCATATTTTCCCATATTTTCTGGGTTTTTGTCTTCCCCCCCACTTCCCATATTTTCCTATATTTTCTGGGAAATCGACGATTAATTGTGTCTGTGTGTTTTTTTCCCTCCTGATTCTTTGAGGCAGAGGAAACGCCACACACCGAAACTTTTGGGGCTCCGCGCGGATTCCGCCGTGCCTCTTGGCACGTGGAGGCGTGTCAAGGATGCCAAGGGCTCTCCGGCAGCGCTTCTGCGGTCTTCTTAGAAGGGCCACCCGCCCTTCACGGTCGGCCCACCTGCGTGCACCAGCCCCACTCCTGGAGGTCCCTGGACACCCATGGCGTCTCCCTGGTGGTCACGGTGGCGGGACTTGCCGTTGGCAGCTGGTAGTAGACAGTCGGAGCTCCGCGCGGATTTCTTGGACTGCTGGCACGGGGAGCGCGCCAGGGGCGCTGGACAGAGGCGCCCGCCACGGTGTCCAACGCCGATCCGAGAAACCCGCGCGGATCTCCGAACGTTTATCTCGACGCATGGGTTCTTCTTCGGTGGATGAATCACTCTGCCGGATCGTCTGAGGGCCGAGTTGGGCAGGTCCTCGTCAATCTGCACGATGCCGCCCTCCCCGCTGCGGCAGGACCACGCCGCGAGCACAGAGCGGAGCGAGCCGCGCGCCGGCGAGTTCAGCGCGACGCCCCTCACGTGGCCGCTGCCGACGTCGGCGGCGGTGATGAGCATCACCGCCTGCGAGCGGTTCGAGACCGAGACACTCTCGCGTCGAGACAGAAACACGACGAAAGGTCCTGGGGGCCCCAGGACCGTCAACAGAAGGAATCGGAACAAAAAACAGGCCCCCAGGAAAGGTGTGGAGACCTCTTGGGGGTCGACGTCGTGAAAAGAACTCGACGTCGAGGGAAAGGAGGAGGAGGGGAAGGAGGAGGAGGAGGAGGAGGAGGAGGAGGAGGAGGAGGAGGAGGAGGAGGAGGGACGCGGAGGCATACGTACACAGGTCCTGGGCGCCCCCCGTGGGGGCCACGTCCAAGCCGAACACACACAGCACAACATCTGACAGCACATCGTTACCCAGGCGGGCGGCATGGCCACTCGATTGTGCGGGCCAGGGAATCACATGTTTATGTGATGCTGATCGTGCTACTCCCTGGATCTCTGCCACGGGGGGACCGGGACTACAGGGAGAGTCCAGCCGATGCGACGATGGCTCTCTCCGCGACGGCCAGAGTTCTGTTTGACCAGCGGCGGGCTGGGTCCAGCAGGCGGTCGAGCTGGCGGCCACGGGACGCGCCCGAAGCGAACTCGGCACAGACGCCCGCGGACGGAGCACGGAGGCGAAAACGCCACGGGGGCAGGGGGGGGGCAGCGGCACAGGTGCCCTCTCCTCCGCATATGGGGGGGGGGTAGCACGCAACGGCGCTGTTACTCCTGGGACGCCCGCCCGAGGTGTGCGCGCTGACCAAGACGTGCCGGCACCGTGGTCTTGCTCCTCGGAGGCTCTGCCGAAGTGTATACTCCGACCAGTACCCCGAGGCGCCCCGGGCTGTGGCGACGAGGGCTCTCCTGGACGCCCCACACTAGGAGGAACAAACACGCACATGTTAGCCGGCGTGGACCCCCAAACATTTTTGATCCGCGGGTCGAGGGCGCACCTCTTCCGGTCGAAGCTAAGCGGGCCGCGCGAGTGGACCCCCAAACATGAGCTCTTATATTCTATGCGGTGCAATCTGCAATAGGAGCTCGACCACAAGAAACCTTCCACGAGGAGCCGAACCCTCGAACCCCGGGACGTCCACTGAATTTTGGCGTGGACACGTCACGCTCTCCCTCGCAGAACCATGGAAACCCGAGAAACCCAGGGCACCCTGGAGGCAAGCAGGGTGCTTCTTGGCGTGGGCCTCCCCTGCAGAACCCTCGCAGGCTATAGCTGCCGAGGGCCGCACATACCACTTCCGGAGGGCCGCGTGGACCCCCGGGGCAAGCTCCAGCACTCGGTGCACTCTATATAGGCGACTGTCCCCCCCCCACCCCCTCCCGTGGCCGCCCTCCTGCCGCCACCCTGCGCACCGCCAGCACCCTCCTGCCCCGGCGCGGCGCCTCGGCGGCACCGCCCGCGTGCAGGCTATCACACGGGCCCCGCAGGCCACGGCCCCTCGGGGCCCGGCGGCCGCCCCCCGGGGGCCAGCTCCTCGTCCCGACTGCCTGCTCGACGGCACCCGGGGGCACGGGAGGGGCCCCGGGGACGCCAAGATCGGGGAGACGTAAGACCCGGGTACGGGGGACTCGGAAATCCCCGACGAGGTCGTCAAAAAAATGACGAGGCCGAGCCTGCATTTTGACGAGGCCTCCCGCTGCAGACATCCCATAAAACTCCTCCTCGTCAAAATCCGAGTCGCGGTCGTCAAAAAACGATGGCGAACCCGAGTCCTGGCAAACCCGGGTCTTACGCTCCCCCGACAAGAGTGGCGACGAAGCTCCGGCCATGTGTCCCTCGGAGCCCGCTGCTGGGAACCGGACTCTCTACATATACACCGAAGCTTCCTCCGGCTCCGCACCGGCACTCGCACGGGAGAGCGGATCCATGGTGTGTATACGGGATCCTGCTGTATACATTTGTCGCGCTGCTTCCCCTGGAAAATGCGGTAACCGGTATACACCACACGACCCCGACGTCGTCCCCGACCCTCAGAGGTCCTGGGATTGAAACACAGCCCGCCACTGGTAATGTATGTATGTTCCAGTTTCCGAGTTGCTTCATGCTTCGGGAAGACACGACAACAAGCTCAGGTTCGGGGGGACTCGGGCTGGCCAGGCGGGGCCGTCGGGACAATGGCGAGAGCCAGTCTCGCACACATCCCGCGAAAACCGGACCGCGAAAAGTCAGGACGGGCCTGCGAAAAAGCGCCGGCAAACCTGGGTTCCGGCGAACTCGAGTCTTGTGTAACTGTTTCCCCCGTTCACGGCAATCACTGGCTCTGCCTGCTCCGACGCTTTGTCGGTCGCGCGCCCGCCTGGTCCATGGACGGCTGTCTGCTGGTCCAGCTGCGGTCCTGGTCCAGCGACAGCGGGTGCGCAATCAGCAGCTGGCCCACGGAGCACGGCGATGGGTCGTCGGCGCCGACGCGCCTCGGACTTGGAGGCCGCATGGGGGGTCCGAATTGGTTGGGACCCCCAGGAGGGGGGAAGCGGCCAAATCCGCTCAAAATCCCGGATCTCTCTCCTGGGAGCCGACAAAGGCTCAAAGCCATCTCACGTACCCAGGACCTCGATCCTCTTCCCCCCCCCCCTCCCTGCTCGCTGGAACCCACGCGGGGCCACCCCGGATCCCTCTCCTGGGAGCCGAAAAAAGGCTCCAAGCCATCTCGTGCCCAGCACCCCGATCCTCTTCCCACCCCCCCTGCACTGCTCGCTGGAACCCACGCGGGGCCACCCCGGACCCGCAGCCGCCCCAAACCTCGGAGATCGACGCCGTCCCGGGCCCCCCGACGTCGCTTGTCCGCGCACCGCCGTGCGCGACGCGCGGTCACCCTCGCGCCCCCGCGGGGCTGCCTGTCGGGGGCGCGCCAACGGGGGGGCGGGGGGGCAGAGGAGGGGTTCAGAGACAGATCTGCGGGCAATGTCTATATCCACATCCAGTGCGTCTTGGAGTTTCGGACTCTCTTCGCCACAAACATGAGGCGCAATGGACATGGATGAAAATCAGATCTGGTCCCAAAAGGCTAGACTTCATCCATGTCCAGTGCGCCTCGGCCTTGCGGCGCCCCGCCTAAGAAAGTCCAAGACGCACTGGATATGGATATAAAAATTGCCCGCAAGATCGCTCGCAGTGGCGGTGGCAAAAAGGAAGCGTGAGCATCCCTCGGGGCTCGTTCCTATAACCCCACCTGGGGACAAGCCCCTCCAGTGGCGGCCGCAGGCAGGAACCGTGAGCAGCCATCTGGGTTCGTCCCCGGACCCCGCCTTGGGACAACCCCTCCGCTGCGAGGCCCCGAACGCTGAAGAAGGTCAGCTCGACAGCCCAGGCCGCGACGCGCGTAGCGCGATCGCCTTCGCGCCCCAGGGGGGGGGGCCCTTAGCATCCGGTCGCCTGCGGCGGCGGCGGGTCATCGGCGGCGAGGGGCCGTCGTCGTCGCTGGCGGTGGCAAAGGGGTCGGGAGCGCCGTCGCCTGACATCGCTGGTGCGTCCTGGGTTCACCCTGGCCCTCCTTTACCAGCATGGAACATATCCCTATCCCTATGCTGGGCACCTCCTCATCACGATGCCAATCTTAGGGATTCCCTTAGTTTTCCAGGGCGGATCCCTAAGATTGTCATCGCCTTTTGGCGCGTCAATCTTAGGGATAGGGATATGTTCCAAGCTGATAACTCCTCCTCCGCCGTGTCTTCGGCACGCCCTCGGACACTCCCATGGCGCAAAAGCCTCCTCCGCCCGGATGTCACGCGTCGGCGCTGGCCTCTCCCTCCCCACACACCCCGAGCGGCGCCTCCGGCACCGCGCCCGGCACGTACCCACTCTGGACACATCGCACGATCGCGCGCCCTCGGGTCCGAAGCCACATTCGGGATCAAGCAACGCCCCCCACGAAGCTCTCGAACCGAGCGCGCGACGTCGCACTCGACACCCTGCGCGGACAGGGAAAGGCACGGGCCCCGACGAGCGCCTCCACCGCCAGGTGCGCTGAGGTGGTGCCGTGTCTGCCTGGACGCGGATGCTGCGCAAGTCGCGCTGCATCCGCGACGCGCCAGTGCCCGGGGAGCTCCGCGCACAGACCACACACGCCCCACGACGCCGGGACGTCTTCGCGGCGCGGGCCCCCCGCACGGCTCGGCACCGACCCCCCCCGGGGACGCGGCAGCGTGGCCTGCAGGGGGGGCCCGAGGGCGGCCCGCAGACTCCGAGCTTCTGGGGCGCGTGCACGTCGTGTGCTGTGCCTCTCCTCCTACCAAAGGGGCCCCGCGACACACACACACACACACACACACACACACACATAAACAGACACGACTCCCAGGATGCCCAATGATTTCCTACGTTTTCAGGGTTTGCGTCTTCCCCCCTCCCCCCCACTTCCCAGGTGTTCCCATACTTTCTGGGGCATCGACGACAAAGTGTATCTGTGTGTGTGTGTTTTCCCTCCTGATCCTCCCCCGCCTCGGCACTTCAGAGACGGGGCCCTGAGACGGGGGCCCCCCGAGCGAGAAGGCCTGGCACAGGGGAGCAAGCAATGACACAGATATGAAAAGTCGGAAGTCCGCGCGGATTTCTCGGATCGGTGCTGGACACCCCTCCCCGGCGCCGATCCGAGACATCCGCCCGGACCTCGGAGTTTCTATGTTCACGTCACTGTTGATGCTGATGTCGTTGGCGTTTAAGTTCCTGTCGAGGTCTTACATCAGTCCAGATCGGTCCGATAGGTCTGGAGGGCATGTTGTGGCACTCTGGAGAATATGTTGCATCCTCGGGGGACCTTATCTGTCCCGTCGCGGCCGTGTCCGCGCCGACTCCGTGTCGACCTCGTCGGATCCGTACCGAATCCGCGTCGAATCCGCGCCGAGTCCGCATCGAGCCCGCGTCGGGCACACGGAACGACACCGCTTTTTGGGGGGGCACCGGCGGGGCCCTCCCGAAGGTGCAGCGCAGGCCCAGGAGCCCCCCGACCCTCCTGCGGGCCCCATCCCTCCGGGCCCCAGCTGCGACGCCCCCCCCCTGCCCGACGGTCTGGGGGCCTAGCCGTGTCTGTGTCTGTGTGGGGGGGGGGGGGGGGCGGGGGCGTGAGGAGCCTCGCGGCGCGCGTGCTTTTCCTGTTGGCTCCGCGGCGCCGTGGAAAGCAGGACGAGGCCAGCACGAGGGAGGGCATCGGGCGAGGATGCATCGAGCATCTCTGGGACCCGCCTGCCCCGAGGATGTCTCGGGCGCCGCGGCCTTCTCTGAGAGCGTGCTGGGACGCTCTGAGAGCGAGCCGGAACGCTCTGGAACGGATTGATCCTCGTCCCAACCCCGTCCGAGGAGATCATGGCCACGTTCTCCTTCCCGGCCAGAATTCCTGGCTGCCTCCTCCTCCTCCTCCGACGACGACGACGACGACTCGACCTTGAGCCTGATCGATCTGTGAGGGTCCCAGGCCCCGAGAGCTGGCGAACACGCCGTGGAAAAATCGCAGGGCCCAGGTCTCTGAGCAGTGCTTTTCACATCGTGGTTCCCCCGGGGATGCGGATCCCTTCCACGGGACCCGTTCTTATCCCCGGTCAGCCTGGCCTGACGAGGGCTCCCAGAGGCCGAATACAACTGCTTGAGCCCCCACGAACGATTGAATCTCGGGCAGCGATTCTGCAACCAATTGAATTGACACCGCAGCACCCCGCAATTACGGTTAGGACTGAGGGGGCTAGCGGGTGGGTCGCTTGGCGGGGCGAGGGTGGTGAGGGGCCGGGCGCGGGTGAGTCGTGAGGGGGACGACGACAGCAACAAAGAGACAACGCGACGCAACAACGACGACAAAAACCAACAACAGCAACAGCAACAGCAACAGCAACAGCAACAGCAACCACAACATCAATCAGTTTAAGACTGTTCGCTCCTACCTGCTCACGTGCCAATCCATCCATATATCCCAAACCTCGGTACCCGCCCTCGCCGTCTGCGATCGCACCCCCTTGGGGGTATGTCGCCCTTGCCCATAAGACAAGAGAAGAGAAGACGGGTGGAAGGGGGAGGGAGAATAATGGAGCACGAGAGAAATGAGCAGGAGGGGGGCAAGGAGCACGAGAGAAGAGAGAAGAGAGAAGAGAGAAGAGAAATTAACAGAAGGGGCACGAGAGGAGAGAGAAGAAGAATGGAGCACGAGAGAAATCAGCAGGAGGGGGGCACGGAGCAGAAAACAAGTGGCAGCACCAGACGGGCAGGCCGGGCGGGAAGACCCGTATAGCGAGCTGGTCGGGGAGGCGGGCCCGGGCGGCCAGGTCGACCAGGCGGGCTGCCGCAACGTGGGGTCCTGCATGAATCGCGAGGGAGTCTCGAGCGGTAGCGTGATTCCTAAGGGAGTCGTGAGAAATGCCAAGAAGCGAGAGCGTAATTCCTGAGCGCCGAGGGCGCATCGTCTGAATCAACTGCGAAGAAGTCCCACGAGGGAGCGCAATTCGTATACAAATTGTGAGGAAGTCCCGCGCGAGAGCGCGATTTGGGAATACACTGCGAGGAACCATCAGGCGGGAGCGAGCCGTCGTTGTTGTAAACTGGGGGCCATAACTCAGTTTGGGCCCCGTGACTTTCCATGACAAAAAAAACAAGGTGCGAGCCCCGGGGGAAGCACTTCAATTGAGAAATACAATGGTCATCGGAGGGGGGATCAACAGTACTTATTCTTCAATAGTGAGTGTTCAACAACAATAACAACAGCAACAACATCAGCAACAACAGCCATTTGAATACTGTTCGCTCCTACGTATCTTGCCGCGAGCCATTCAACATGTATATCCAAAGTCCTCGAGATCCGCCCTCTTCGTGTTCGATCGTAGCCCCTTGGGGGTATATCTCTCGTGCCTGCAACGTGTATTCTGTGCAGCCACTATAGAAGGCAGGGGAAGAGAGGACGGATGGAAGGAAGGGACAAGGGGGAGGGAGGAGGATGGAGCATGAGAGAGAGAGAGTAGCAGGAGGGGGGAGCAGAAAACAAGTGGCAGAACCAGACGGGCAGGCAGGGAGGGCAAACCCTAGCGAGCGGGTCTGGAAGGCGGGCCAAGGCGGCCAGATCGAGTAGGCGGGTGGCTGAAGCGTGAGTGCTGCATGAATCGCAAGAAAGTCTCGAGCGATAGCGTGATTCCCAAGTAAATCGTGAGAAAAGCCAAAGCGAGAGCGTGATTCCTGAGTGTCGAGGGCGCGGCGTCTAAATAAATTGCGAGGAAATCCCACGCGAGAGGGCGATTCCTGCGCACATTATGAGGACGTTCCGCGCGAGACCGCGATGTCCAATACATTGTGAGGACGTATCAGGCGCAAGCAGTCGTTGTTGTAACTTGGGGGGCCAAGACCGCAGTTTGGTGACACCCAACTCTCCCATGTAAGAAAACAAGGTGCGAGCCCCAGTAGGAGCACCGTAATTGACACATACAATATCGGCCAGCGTTGCCTCCAAATAGATAGGAGGACAGGAATAGGACGAGAGGAGGATGGAATGAGGACGAAAGGAGGACGGGAGCAGGACGGGAGGACGGGAGGAGCAACATCAAACAAGCGCAAGCAAGCAAGCGGAGGCAAGCAATCGCAGGCGAGCAATAATAAGGAAGCAAGAGCCAGCGATCAAGTGCAAGCACGCAAGGGCAAGCAAGAGCAAGCAAGCGAGAGCAAGCACGTACGAGCAAGCAAGCAAGCGCCATTGGAAAAAAGGGGGTGCCATTGGAAAAAGGGGGGCACTGGAAAAAGGGGGGTCCTAAAGACCAACTACTTATGATGAGCTAGGACTCCTATAAGGCAAGTCTACTTGGAGAATTGTTACGGGGGAACCACTATGACACCAACATAGATCGCGTTCGCCCTTATCTGCTCGCGTCATGCCATTCAACACGTATTGCCGGGACCCTCGGCACACGCCAAACAACAACAAATTCAACAACAACAACAACAACAACAACAACATGAACACCAACAACAACGACAACAACATCAACAACACCAACCACAACAACAACAGCAAGTACAACAACAACGACAACAACTACAACACCAGCTAGAACAACAAAACAAACAATTAAATACTGTTCGCTGCTAAGCGTTCGCGGGATATTCAACATGTACATCCCAAGCCCTCGATACCCACCCTTTTCGTCTTCCATCGTCCCCCCTTGGGGGTATGTCTTCCGTACCTGCCACGTGAGGTTGACGCAGCCACCAACACAGGGGATTTGAGGGAGGAGCGACGGGACAAGAGACGTGAGCAGGAGGGTCAGGAGCAGGAGCGCAAGCGGCAGAACCAGACAGGCGGGTCGGGCGGGTGGACTCTGACGGCGCGGGTCGGGCGGGTTGGCCCAGACGGGCGGGTCGAGCGGGCGGGTCGCTGAAGCTTCAGTCCGCAGGAATCGCGAGGAAGTCTCGAGCGACAGCGCGATTCCCGAGTAAATCGTCAAGACGTCAATGGCGAGAGCGTGATTGCTGAGTGTCGAGAGTGCGGCGTGTCCATAACTTGGGAGGAGATACCACGCAAGAGCCCCATTCCCATAGACATTGTGGGAAGTCCCGCGCGTGAGCGCGATTTTCAACAACCTGTGAAGACGTATCAGGCGGGAGCCGCTGTTGTTGTAAACCGTTGCCAACCAGGGGCCAGCGGCGCAGCTTGACGCGCAGGACTCCCCCATGTAAAAAAAATGATGCGATCCCTGGGGGGGAGCACTACTGTGGTAAAACGTACAAAATGGGCACCGCGGAGAGATCAACAATGACAAGTGGCACGTGTGCTCAGGCTCATACAAACGCATGTGCAGGATGTGTGTGTGTGTGTGTTGGTGTGTGGTGAGAGGTGTGTTTCATGTGTTGTGTGCAAGTGTTGGGTGCTGTGGTTGCCATGTGTCGATTATGTGCATTATGCGTGCTATGTGGGTTACGTGTGTTGTGTGTGCGATGTTTGTGTGTGTGTGCGTGTGTGTGTGTGTGTGTGTTTGTGCGTGTTGTGTGCTGGATGCGTGCGTTGTGTGTGTGTGTGTTCTCTGTGTGTTATGTGTGTTGTATGTAGGTGTTGTGTTGCCTGCGTGCTTTCTGAGTGTGTGTGTGTGTGGGTTGTGTCAGGTGTGTTATGTGTGTTATGGATGTGTATCATGTGTGTTGTACGTCGGTGCTTGATTCAGCGAGGATTTCCCGGGCGAATTTGTTTTTTCTCTTTCTTGCTTTGGTTAAAGAAAAGGCCGTGTTGGAAAGAGAGGCTCGACGTCTGGAGGTTGTCTCAGGCGAAGCTGCCATGTTCGCAGAATCGATCTCAGAACCATTGAATTCCAGTGTGTGTTCGGACCGAGACGTCGCAATCTGCGTGAGGGGTGAGTCGGGTGTTCAATATGTTGAAGATGTCCCGAACGAAACGGCCAGAACAATCTCGAACGGGATCAGTAAATCGCCTCGGAGCTCTACTCCCTCGGAGAGGTGAGCACGAGGATCCGATTCTTCAGGAGTGAGAGCTCCACAAGAGTCCGCGCAGCGGAATACCACGCTTCAGCCACGCACCCAGGTACCACGACTGATCACTCTGACCCCAGACACTTCTGCTCGCGAGCGACGCGGTCCGCCGCGCGCCGTCAGGCAAGTCGAGAGTAGCGCAGGCCCTGCCGTCGCAAGCGTGCTGTGGAACAGGGGGGGCCACACGCATCCCAGACACGCGAAGCCCGGACGTTTTCCCTACGGGGTGCCCCCGAAGTCCCGAGCCCTTCTCCGGGGCCCGCTTCTCATCCCCGGGTCGCCGTGTTGACGGCCGGAGCCCGGTGCGGGACCCCCCAGCCCAAGAGGCCGAAGACGGCGAGACCCTCCCGTCGTGACCTCCCCCAGGGTGCGTCTCCTGACCCGGCGAATCCAGGGGTGGCGACGAGGGCCTCCCCGGAGGCCGAAGGCGGGGAAAACGAGGCAGGGGTAACCCCTAATGAGTCTCCGGTTCTGGGCCCCCCCCTTCTTCAATCGGCGGTGACTAGAAGTGGTCTCAAAACCTCCACCTCCTCCTCCTCTCCCCTCTCCTCCCCCTCCTTCTCCTCCTCCTCCTCCTCCTTGCTCCTGCTGCTCCTCATGCGGACGACAATAATTAGTTATGAGTAACCCCCTATTGGTGGGACCCAAATCCTTCAACAAGACCGCCGAAAAATGATGGGTTACCCACATTGGGGGGTTATCAAAAGCTTTCGCGGCTATATTGCGGCACGTTATGGGTACCGTTCCCTCCTAAACCTTCCCTCATGAGTTTTGTTAGGACGCGAGCATGTCTGGGGATCAAGAGGTCCGTCGAGCTCTGTTGGCAGAGGCCTCCTAGGCAGGGTTCCGAGCAAATAGGGTCGGAGGATCGCGCCGCATCGCCGATGCATCGCCGCGATGCATCGGGACGTCGGCGTGGGGAACATCGGGCCCTACATCTGGCCGCATCCTCGATGCCTCGGCGATGCGGCGCCATCCACCAGCCCCGTCTACAGTCGGGCTGCTGAAATAAGCAACGCCAAATAAGGAACGAAGCCCCTCTGCGGCTCCAGAAAAGCCTGGGTGCACGAGAAGGGCCTACAGAGGAACAACCACGGAAGGACGTCAGGAACGTCGAGCCCCTTCCGCATCCAAACTGCTCCTCATCTCGGCGTCTTGGCTGCACTCCGACCCCACCTGGGAGGCCTGGACTCGGCCGCCCGCCGCTGCGGCCTCAGGGGCGGCCCCCGCGCCTCCTCCTCCTCCTCCTGGCTCCTGCTGCTCCTCATGCGGACGACAATCATGAATTATTGGTTACCCCCTGTTGGTGGGACCCAAATCCTTGCATAAGACCGCCAACAAAAAAAATTGGTTACCCCATATTGGCCGCCCGCCGCTGCGGCCTCAGGGGCGGCGCCGCGGCCCCCGGGGCAGCGGCGGGCGCCGGCGCGGCGGGCCCGAGCAGCGGCGGGAGGCCGGGCGGGCCCGGCGCGGGCCCGCGGCCGGCGGCGGCGGCGTCGGCGGGCTCCGCGAGGGAGAGCTTCCCTGGAGGGGAGGGCAGGAGAGAGCCCTGGGACAGAGAGAGAGAGATACATACATACATACATACATGCATGCAATGCATTGCATTGCATTGCATTGCATTGCACTGCAGTGCAGTGCAGTGCATTGCATTGCATGGCATTACATTACATTACATTACATTACATTACATTACATTACATTACATTACATTACATTACATTACATTACATTGCATTACATTACATTACATTACATTACATTACATTACATTACATTACATTACATTACATTACAATACAATACAATACATTACATTACATGATATTACATTACATTACATGACATTACATTGCATGACATTACATTGCACTACATTACATTACATTACATGACATTACATACATACATACATACGTACACACATACATACATACATACATACATACATACATACATACATACATACATACATACATACATACATATATACATATATCTATATATATACAAAAAATCCCAGGGTCCCCAACGTTTCTGCGCATTTAGGGGGCATGGCGTCTTCCCCCCGATGTTCCAGACGTCCCAGGCATCCTGTGGCGTTGGGTCCTCGTTTTGAGGAGACAGCGCCCCGCGTCACCTCACCTCCCGCTGCCCCTTCCTGCCTCCCCGCTGCTCCCTCCCCCATCCCCCTCCTTGCCTCTGCTCTACCCAGTGGCACAGGCCGCATGCGTCAACGCAACTCATTTAGGCACCCCTCACACGGTTCGTGGCACCACATGGAGCTCCACCGAAGGCCCCAGTGGCAGGGTCCGCATGCGGGCACCGCCACCTACTTTGGCACTCCTCGCACACGCTTCGTGGCCCCACACGGAGCTCCACCGAAGGCCCCAGCACAGGGTCCGCATGCAGGGACCGCCACCCATTTTGGCACACCCCTCACACGGTTCGTGGCCCCGCAGAGAGCTCCACCGAAGGCCCTCAGTGGCATGCCCCAGCTCACACCGTCGGGAAAATGAAGAAACCCAGCCTGAAATTTGACGCGAACTCCCGCTGCACACATCCCACGAAAATTGGACCGTCAAATTCAAGGACGGGCCTCGGCATACCCGAGTTCCGGCACACTCGAGACTTACGATTCACACAGAAAAACTCCGCGCAGAGCTTCGACAATTCCTGCTTTCGCCTGTGTGCTATTTTTTTGTTTATAGAAAACAAACTACTTACGGCGTCACGGCCGACGGCGACGACCGCGGCCTTCCACCCTGTCGGCTGCGCGCTCGCCAAGGACCAGCCGCTGGCCGGCCCGGGGGCCAGAGATGAACTCCAGCTCCAACGGTGGGAGCACGGTCTTCTCCTCGAAGAAGGGGATCGAAGGGGATCGAGGATCGAGGAAGAAGGACCATCGAGGAGGAGAAGGAGGAGGACCAGTGTACACGCAAGACGCATCAACGATGTTGGAATCAACCATCCCTCCAGGCTCCCTCTTCGCGGGCCCCATACAAGGGTTCATGTCCACTGAAGGAACTGCCTCGTTGGGAGACAACGATTTGAAGACCCTGACGCACGCCAGATCACCATTCTCGGGACTCCACCGCCGCGGATCAACCTGACCGTTGCGTTTTGACGATACTGAATCGCACCAGAGCACCATTCCTAGGACCTCAGCACTGCGAATCAACGTACCAGTGCACCTTCACAATCCTAAAACAATTTCTGGTACGTTGGCACTGAGAAGCAATGATCATCCTGCAAATCTTTAGAAGGAACTGCGCGGCGAGAAAAGCGAGAACGACATATTGAAAACGAACCGCCCTCAGTCCGCCAAAATCTTGAATGTTTTAAGAACGAATGCGCAAGGCGCTGAGGCGAGAGCCAAATGTTGAAAACCGCCAGCCCCGAATCCTTGAAACTCGTGCAAATGTCTGAAACGAATGTACGCGGCGCTAAAGCGAGAGCCATATTTTGAAAACAATCCGCCCTCCATGTGTGGAACTGTTGCCAAGTTTAAGCTTCAGGGTCATACATGGTATGGAGGTCTCAAGCGAGACGCCTGGCTCGCCTTATCGACCAGACTCGGGGTGCGACATGGAAACAAATATTTGCAAGGAAAGGGAAAAAAGGAAGAGGAGGAAAAAAAGGAGGAGGAGGAGGAAGAAAAGAAGAGGAGTTTCACGGGGTCCTTTTCGACGTGCTTGCTGTGCTTTCGGAGATCCTGGACGCCGAGGGAATAAGGAGGAGAAGGATGAGGAGGAGAAGCGGAAAAGGGGAGGAGGGGCGGGAAGGGGTGGAGGAGAAAGCGGTGGAGGAAAGGGAGGAGGCAGGGCGTGAGGTGGAGGTCGGGGAGAAGCATCCTCCTTCTTGTCCTCCTTGACCTCCCTCGCCTTCTCAACGGGAGTGGGGTAACAGGAAGATGTTGACGCTTGTCGTTTCCCCTTGGCCCTTCATGGGCTCGTCTATACGGCTGGATGCGTTCCGAGATCCTGGTCATAACGCGGTTCTGGACAGGATGCAAAGGTCCAAAAGAGGATCTTCGACGTCCTTCTCCTCGCCCTCCTCTTCGCACGTAGCTCGGACCAGGTTCCTAGTGGCTTACGTTCGATCGCCGTGCTGTAAGAGCTGCGCTCTGGCTGCTCTGGCATGCTGCCCAGTCACAGTCTGATCTACCCTCGCCTCTCGTATGCCTCCGTCTCCTTATCCTCCTCTTCTTCCTCCTCCTCCTCCTCCTCCGCCTCCTCCTCCTCAATTTTGTCCTCATCTTCCTATCTCGTTGTCCTCCTCCTCCTCCTCCTCCTCCTCCTCCTCCTCCTCATCATCATCATCATCATCATCATCATCATCATCATCATCATCATCATCATCCTTCCCCGTTCCGAACCCTTCTAAGGTCCCCCCGGCGACACGGCTGGACGCGTATCGGAAGACGGGCCAGTCCAGGATGAAAATCCATCTGGGGCCCTCCCAATGCAAAACGGCGCTCTCGTGTGATAGGGTGGTGTACCCGAGCCCCAAAAATTAATATTTTCAAAATGAGATCTGTTTTTGGAAAGCCTCTTTCTCGCGGCTGGGCCCTCCCGCCCAGTGTCGGGAGCGCCCAGATGGATTTTCACCCCGGAACCGTTCCGTAATGATAATCTGAACCCCCCCAGCGCAAAACGGCGCTCTCGGGGAGGGGATAGGGGGGGGAGTACCCGAGCCCCCAAAACTAATATTTTCCGAAAGAACTCCCTTGTTGGAGAGCCTTTTTATCGCGGCCGGGCCCTCCCGCTAAGTGTCGGGATGGCCGAGATGGATTTTCACATGGGAATCGTTCCAGGGTAAAAATACATCTGGGACGGCGCTCTCGGGGATAGAGGGGAGTGCACCCGAGCCACAAAAAAATGTTCGGGATGAGATCTCTTATTGGGGTGCATTTTTTCTCGCGGCTGGGCCCCCCGCCCAGTGTCGGGAGCGCCCAGCAAGATTTTCACCCCGGAGCCGTTCCAGGGTGAAAATCCATCTGGGACCCTTCCAAAGCAAAACGGCGCTCTCGGACATAAGGGGCGGGCGTGCCCGAATTCCCGAAATGGTAATTTTCAAAATCAAATCTCTTTGTGGGAAGCCTGTTGTTTCGGCTGGCCCTCCCGCTCCGTGTCGGGAGCGCCGAGATGGATGTTCAACCCATCAGCGTTCCGAGGTGGAAATCCATCATAATTGTCTCTGTTGGTCGGTTGACTAGGGTCCGCTGTGGTTCGAGTTTGTTGCGTGGTCGGTGTGTCCAGGTCCGCTGTGGTTCGAATTTGTTGCGCGGTCGGTTGCTGAGGGTCCACTGTGGTTCTAGTGTGTTGCCTGGTTAATCGCTGAAGGCCCGCTGTGGTCCGTGGTTCGGACTTGTTGCGCGGTCGGCTGCTGAGGGTCGCTGTGGTTTGAGTTTGTTGCGCGGTCGGTTACTGAGGGTCCGCTGTGGTTCGAGTTTGTTCCGCGGTCGGTTGATTGGGGTCCGCTGTGGTTGGAGTTTGTTGCGTGGTCGGTTTGTGAAGGGTCCGCTGTGGGTCCAGTTTGTTGGGCGGTCGATTGCTGAGGGCCCGCTGTGGTTCGAGTTTGTTGCGCGGTCGTGTGCTCGTCCTCCTCCTCCTCCTCCTCCTCCTCCTCGTCCTCCTCCTCCTCCTACTCCTCCCCCCCGTTCTGTAAGGAGCTCAACGGAGCCTTCTGTAAGGAGCCGAATAAGGCCTTCCTTGAGGAGCTCAATAAGGCCCTCTGTAAGGAGCCCAGTCAGGACCTGTAAAAGAAACCCGCTGAGGCCCTTCTGGGAATTCTTGGAAAAGCCTCATATGGGTTTTCACCCTGGAACGGTTCCAGTGTAAGTCCGGAACTGGAAACGGCGAATTACGGCCCCAAGACATGAAGCAGCACCCCAGGCGCCGCCAACATTTGAGGAAAGAACGTCTCCAAAACCCAGACGACGACGGCGACGACGATAGCGAAGGCGGCGACGACGACGAGGAGGCCAACACCGCCACAGACGACGGCGGCGGCAACGACCACAACGACGACGACGACGACGACGACGACTCCGACGACGACGACTCCGACGACGACGAGAAGGACGACGACGACGGCGCCGCCACCGCCGAAGGCCGCCGAGGGCCGTCCTGGCGCGCGGCCGCCGCGAGGACGCGGTCCGCGGAGCGCTGCGCGTCCTCGAAGCGGCCGAGGAGCACGCGGGCGCCGGGCAGGTAGGCGAGGCCGAGCGCGCCCATGCGGCGCCTGGGGAGGGAAGGATTTTCATGGTGCGTCGAGGGCGTTTCCGGGTGTGGCAGGGCGTGTGCTCTTGCTCCTCGCTGCCTCCTCCGCTCACCCTCCCAGGGGGGCCTAATCTGGTCCCTGCAACTCCCAAATCCCAGGTGTGTATATATATATATATATATGTATATATATGTATATGCATCCGTGTCATTAGCTCCTCGATAGTTTGATGCTCATTTGAACACGTTCCCAATGAGGGCGTGGGCCCAAGGTTCTCTTTGTCTTGTCGGTCCTTTGGCCATAGACTGAATGGGGTGCCGAGCAGGATGAGGAGGAGAAGCGTGTCGCGTGAGACATCCTTCCAAACTGGGGATGTTGCTTACGACGTTGGTTCTCAGAAGTGAAGCTTTCGCCTGAGACATCCCAAGACATACTGGAGAACGGACGTCGGATATCCAACACAGTGTGGGGGAGCGTTTCGCCTGAGACATCCTCACAACATGGGGAGATTGGAGGAGTTGTTGTTCGACGTTGGTTCTCAAACACGAGGTTTCACCTGAGACGCCATCAGAAGAACTCAACGTTGGAGATCGGACGTCGGATATCCAACACGGTCTGGGGGGGCGTTTCGCCTGAGACATCCTCACACCATGGGGAGATTGGAGGAGTGGTTGTTCGACGTTGGTTCGCAAACACGAGGTTTCACCTGAGTCGCCATCAGAAGAATTCAATGTTGGAGGTCGGGCATCGGATATCCAACACGGTCTGGAGGAGCGTTTCGCGTGAGACATCCTCACAACATGGGGATGTTGGAGAAGTTGTAATTCGACGCTGGTTCTCAAACTTGAAGCATACGCCTGGGACATCCTCAGGAAACAGAAAAAGTCGAAATCAAGCTTCGGATACCCAACATGATGTGGGAGGTGTCGTTTCGCTTTAGAGATCCCCACAACATGGGGATGTCGGAGGACTTGTCTTACGACGCTGGTTCTCAGAAATGAAGCTTTCGCCTGAATCATATTCATAATAAACATGTGTTGGAGATTGGACATCGGAAATCCAACATGGTGTGTGTGTGTGGTGGGGCTTTCGCCTGAGACATCCTCGCGCAATGGGAATGTAAGAGGAGATGCGCCACTACGCTGGTTCTCAAAAATGAATGTGTTGCATGAGACACCCCCAAAACATTGATATGTTGAGCTCGGGCGTTGGATGTCCAACTCGGTGTGGCGAGGCGCTTCGCTGCAGAGATCCTCATTCCAAAGGATCTTTTCAGCTAGCTCCCGACTTCGACGTACTTTCAAGAGCTTGGCTCTCGCCTGAGCTACCCTCACACATGGAGGCGTCAACAGAGAAGTCTGACAGCATACAACTTTATTCAAATTCCGTACGGCAGGTTCGCGTCGTGTCGACCCCAGCGTTGGTTTCTGACACCGCGGGGATCGTTCAACCTTGAACGATCGGCCGTTTCCGAAACGTCGAAATCGTTCCACATCGAACGATTCTGGGTCGCCCGCGGCGTTCAAGGTTGAACGCCGCTGGCGGGGTCGCCGCCGGTCGACACGACACGAACCTTCCGTACATGATTCGCAGGTCCCTCAAACTGCCAACAGCATCGTGACGCACATGCCTCACAAAGCGGCCCCACCTCTGAAAAATGGTAGCCTCGGCCCACAGGGCGACCTCGGCACCCGGAGCCCCCGCCACCCTCCGATCCACGCCCAGCCCCGGCGACGAGGAGCGCCCCGAGGGCAACAAAAGCACAGCTGCTTGTCCGACTGCACTGTAATAAGAGCACTCTCCTCCTCCTCCTCCTCCTCCTCCTCCTCCTCCTCCTCCTCCTCCTCCTTCCGCTTCGTACAGCCTCATGCGAACCTGGCTGGACCTCCTCTCACGCGGCATCTCTGTGCCCAGCGGAATGTCGTCTCAAGCGAAGCTTGCCGGAGCGCCTCACGCGCGGTATCGAATCGCCTCGTGCGCAGCATCTCCAAGCCCAGAAATGCGAGGATGCCTCAGGCGAAGTGGTCGGAGACCCGCAGGGCACGGCATCTCCGAGCCCAGAGATGCGAGGACATCTCGGGAGAAGTGGGCCGGACCTCTGGCGCAGCGTCTGGGAGTGCAAACCTGCGAAGGCATCTCAGGCGCAGCGGGTCGGACCATCTCAGATCAGGTCGTCTCGGAGCACCGACTTTTGAGGAAAACCCTAGCGAAACCGGCCAGACCACCCCGGCATCTTGAGGATGCCCCGACGCGCGAGGCCCTGGAGCCGCACGCGTTCTTACCACAGCAATGCCCCCTGGCGCGGACTGGGCACCCAGGACACACCCCACAAAAACCTTTGAAGGGGCCTTGGGACACACAAATAAATACACACAAATAACAAGATTCCCTATCTTTTCCCATACTTTCTGGGTTTTTGTCTTCCCCCCCACTTCCCATATTTTCCAATATTTTCTGGGGAATCGACGATTAATTGTGTCTGTATTTTTTTCCTTGCTGAACCTTTATGACGGCAGTAAGCGAGATCATCCCATGTCTATATACACACCAGAAGGAGGCCACAATCTCCTCGGCAACCCCAGAAGGCTCCGAGAGGTCCCAAGTCAGTTAACTGAGCCGTCGAGGCATCCAACATGCCCACGGATATTGCACCAATGCAACCAAAGATAGCCCAATAAGACACCCCAGTGCTAAAGTAACGTGTTCTGCTTCGAGCGGCCCGCGCCCATCGGCCGCGGCATGCGGTCGTCGTTCGTCGAAGGCACGCGGAGGGATACCCAGGGAGCGCCGGCACACTTTGAGCCTGCTCGGGCACACTTTCAGCCAGGTGGCCGCGGCATGCAGGGTGTGCGGGGCGGTTTGGGAGCCGTCTTCTCCAGCTATAGCAGCCCGCACAGGTCGGGTGTGTGGAGTGAACTGTCGGAGATCCACGCGGACTTCTTGGATCGGAACTGGCTCCCCCCCCCCTTGCGCCGGAGGAGGCGCCCCTGGCGCGCTCCCCGCCCCAGGGAGGGCCAGGAAAAGGGGGGCCAAGCACCGATCCGATACATCCGCGAAGATTTCCGAAAGTCATAGGTCAAACAGTGCTTGCTTCTGTTCGAGCGTTGGCGCCCACCTCCTCCACCTCCTCGTCGATCGAGGCTCGAGGTTCCGTGCTCGAGCATTCTGGGCCCTTGCCGCGGGCCTCTGGGGGGGCTCCCCGCCGCCGCGGCTGGATGACCCCCGCCCAGGGACAAGTCCGCCAACCCTCTCCAATACGAATCCGCCAACCCTTTGGCGTGCCGAAGACGCTGTCGTCGCCGCCGTCAATCCCCAGGAGATGGAGGGAACACGGACAAGGAACGTCAGAGTTAAATCCAAGGGAAGCCCCTTCCCTCTATCCCTTCCTGCCGGGGGGGTGCGGGGGAGGGGCAACAGAGGGGGGCCACGGGGGAGAGGTCTGGGATCAGAATACCGACCCCCCCCCAGGGTCCCGGAGGTGGTAGCCAGCGGGGGTCCCGGCCTTCAGGGTCGGCTGTGCCGGCCTTAAGGCCTTCACAATAACTCCTCCCTGCCACACCACCAGACGCATCGGCAGGACGGGCTGGGCGTTTCGCCTTGGACTTCCTCATCAGACCGACAATGAAGCTATAAATCCCACCAGCCCTCTAGGCGTAATTAGGTGGTGCAGGGCGGCCCCTCTTCGAACCCCCTTTCTTCCCTTTCGGGGAAGGGTTTACCCCTCCCCCTAACCCCCTCCCCTGGACCTGGACGGGGGGGGCCGCGACGCGTTGGCGCGTCCAAAACGGCCTCGGCGAGGAAGCCAAACTCATTTGTTTTACTAGGGTTTGGGCCTCATTGTGGGGCTTCCGATGGGGGGGAAGGCTAATTGAAGCTCCCCCCTTCTTTCATCGATCTCCTCCAAGATGGCCCCGAGAGCGCCCCTAAAGCTTCCAAGAGCACCCAAAGAGAGCCCCAAGAGGCGCACAGACGGCCCCCAGAGGCGCCCAAGAGGCCTCCGAGAGGCCCCCAAGAGGCGCCCAGACGGCCCCAAGAGACGCCCAAGATGCCTCCAAGAGGCCCCCAAGAGGCCCCCAAGAGGCCCCCCGATGCACCTAAGACGCCCAAGAGCCCCCCAGGACTGCCCAGAGACCCCCAAAACGTCCCAAGAGGCCACCAGGAAGCGCCCAAGCGATATCCCAAGAGGCTCCGAGAGGCATCCAAGAGACCTCCCTCTGGCCCTTTTGCTCGGCTCGCCCTTTTCCTCCTGCTCCTCCTTCTTCCTACTCCTTCTCTTCCTCCTCCTCTTCCTCCTCTTCCTCCCCCTCCTCCTCCTCCTCCTCCTCCTCCTCCTCCTCCTCCTCCGAATCATCATCATATTCATGTCTTCTCCCGACTCCTTCATCAATCCATTCAGCCTCCTTCTTCTCCTCCTCCCTCCTTCGCACGATTCGGCCGTCCACCTCTTCGCTCCCGCACTTCCCTGATCACCGCAACTCGCCTGGACACTGTTCCTGGATGGGCTGGTGGGGATGCTTTTTGTCGCAACCGCAGGCGAAGGCGCCGGCGGCGTCACAGGTCGGCTCGGGCTACGGGCATAACTAATTGCCTAGCGCGCGTAGCGACAGCGCAACCTACCGCCGGGGGAAGCTGGGCTGCGCCAGGGGCAGAGGCTACAAGAGCTGCCGCGGGCTGCCGGGGGGCGGTGCAGGCGTGGGTGGCCGGAGGGGATGCGCGAAGCGTCTAGATTCTGCAACAGCTTCAGGGATGGGAGGCGGCCTGGTTTCAGAATGCGACTCTCGCCTGCGCGCCGCACATATTATTCTAAAAAGGTTTGCAACAACTTCGAGGGTGGAGGGCGGCCCGTCTTCAGAATGTGCCTCTCGCCTTAGCGCCGCGCACGTTCATCTTGAAAGTTTGCAGCGGCTTCATGGATGGAGGGCGGTTAGGTCTTTAAAAAATGATGTCGCCCCAGCGCCGCGCACAGTCGTCGTAGAAGTTTGCAGCGGTTTCAAGGATGGAGGGCGGTTTGTTCTTGAAAGGTGGATATCGCCTCAGCGCCGCTCACGTTCGATTGAGAACTGTACAACTGTTTCAAAGATTCGTATGGTTGTAGTCCCAGGAATGGATGCATGATTTTGATCTAGGATACGTCGGGAGTCAATAACCACGTTGATTCGCGGCGCTGAAGTCCAAGGAATCGTGTTTTGGCACGATGTAGGACTGACAGGACGCAATGGTCACGCTGATTCGCAGCATCGGAGGCCAAGGGGGAAGTCTTTCGGCACGATCGGGGATTCTCAAACCTTTGTCTTCCGATGGGGAACCTCCCGCAATGAAACTCAGTCCATGCAGGGACCTAAAGAAGGAACTTGGAGGGAGGATTTATCGAAATATCGTTGATGCGCCTTAGGTTTACGCTGGTCTTGATCCTTCTCCTCCTCCTCGGGGGCGCAATCCCCCTCGTCCTCATCCTCCTTCTCCTCCGCGTTGCCCCTGAGGAGGATTGGCGGCGCGCACCGGGGAGGGGGGAAGGCTTCTCAGGCGGAAGCTTCTTCTTAGAAGGATCGGGCCTTGCATCGTCTCCTTAGAAGGCGCGGGCCTCACATCTTTAGACAAGGCCCGCGCCTTCTAAGAAGCATGGGTGCTTCTAAGATAACTTCCCCTCTCCCCCTACACCCCTCCGCGAATGGCCGACTCGTCTTCCGCCGCCTGATTCCTGATTCCGGACGGCTGAAGATATCCTCGATCGCAGCCTCACCCCCTCCTCACCCTGATTCCTGATTCCTGACAGCTGAAGGGATCCTCAATAGAAGCCTCTCCTTCTCCTTCTTCTCCTCCTCCTTCTCCTCCTCCTCCTCATCCTCATCCTCCTCCTCCTCCTCCTCTTCCTCCTCCTCCTCTTCCTCATCCTGATTCCAAAGTCCTGTCGGCTGAATGTATCCTCGATCGCAGCCTCTCGTCCTCCTTCTCCTCCTCCTCCGCCGCCTGATTCCTGATTCCTGACGAATGAAGGGATCCTCGATCGAGGCCCCTCCTCCTCCTCCTCCTCCTCCTCCTCCTCCTCCTTATCCTTTTCCTTCTCCTCCCTCTCCTCCCAATTCTGATGGACCCTCGATCGCAGCCCGCCATCATCCCCCCTCCTCCTCCTCCTCTCCTCCTCCTCCTCCTCCTCCTCCTCCTCCTCCTCCTCCTCCTCCTCCTCCTCCTCCTCCTCCTCCTCCCCCTCTTCA